AATATAAAACATCAATTTGTAAATGCACTAGTGTGCAGGCATTTTTTGTGTTTTATACATAAGATAAGATACAGTAAAAACATGAACAAAGAAACAAAGTAAAACAAACGGACAAATACAATAAAACAAATATACAAATGAAATGAAATAAACAATGCTGTCATTCTTCCATGAAGTTCTACTAACATTACTGTTCAGGTAAGTAATAGCCTACAAAAGAAATCTAAAAGTAATCAAATGTAAATGAACACTGCATAGTTTTCAGTGTATGTATTGATAGATTAATGCTTATTAAAGCTATAACGTTATTCAGATTAAGAGCAGATTTGCATTTTGATGGCCCAAGCGCCAGTCTGTCACTTTAAGACAATATATTGACACACATCGGCTTTTCTCCCAACTGTTCTCCTCCACTTAAGACATAAACTGTGTTTAAGTAAATACTCTCCAAGCCGGCCATTTTGACATATTTTGTGTGTATTTGATCGTTTGGACATGTGCCCAAAGCTCAAAGTGTAATTTGTTTGTCCGTTTTGGAGTGTGCACACATTTCAGCCTGAGGAACAGCGTCTCTTGTGCGGATTGTACTTTCAACGTTTTATTGGCAAACATGTCCCGTTTTAGCAATTTAGCAACAGTAAAGACGGCATCTTACAACAATCACCGATTGAGCTGATTCTGACGTTAAGTTTGGGTTTTAGGGAGGAACGAATGCGCACCGCTGTGAAGGGAAAGAAGTTGCGCAAGACGAAACGCAGTTAGTTTTTAATAGCTTTACCTCATGTCTTCTTTTGTATAATCCTTAGAAGCCAAAATCGAAATAAAAAAATTTAATTAGCTTAAAAAAACCACCACAGGCATAAAGCGTAAGCAGATGTTTGAATGTTTAGTTCTCTCTTCTATCATAATTAAACAGGGCTTTCATGTTGCGCGTGCTGAAGCTCCTCCGCGTGGGCGCGATCTCGCTTCTGAATTGCAAATAGCAAAAATGCATCATAGACAAATGTTTGAAAAACAGCTGGCGACTCTGCGAGATAGATTTGCAAGATAATGTATATATAGCAATAATAAATGTATGTGTGTTTTATTCATTTCTCCAGTACCGATAGCAGAACCGTTAATGTCAGAGCTTATCGATACTCCGGTCTTTCATAATTTAGCCCCGGTACCGATTAAATACCGGGTTTCGGTACCCATCCCTACTTATCATATTATTTTAATGTATTATCTTAATTATGAACACACTGGTTTGTAGTGTAAACAGTTTTACCGTTTACTGCACGTTGTTATTCTCCTCGTTATTTACCTATAGCGGCTAATGAACCGGAAGTCTCACCCATAGGCTTACTTCCGCGTAGAAGAAAAAGGTGGATAGCGACTGACTTTACCGATTAGCGATTGGCTTTTTCACTCAGAAGGCAGGGCTTCCTTCAATAGTGAGGCCATATTTGGGGTTAGCCCTAACGGTACACCAACATGACGGTTCGGTACGTTCCTTGGTTTTGATGTCACAAAAAAAAACAGGCTCAGTACAGTTTCGGTACAGCAGGGGGGAAAACTTTTTTTTAATTATTATTATTAAACAGTGGTTTACTACACAAATTGCTCTTTCTTTAAATAAGCTCAGTTATAATAAAATTTTTCTTGGGGATAAAAATCTACCTTAGCGTATGCTCTAAACCAGGGGTCTCCAACCTTTTTTATACCATGGACCAGTTACGTTTGGAAAATATTAAACTTTTATTTTGGATGCGATTAATCGCAATTAATCGTTTGACATCACTAATATATATATATATATATATATATATTAGGTTATTATATAGTATTATAATAGCATTATATAGTGGTTCAACGCATAATATTGTGGTTTTTTTGAGTCACAGATCGGACAATTTTTTCAGTTTTTTTAATTTTTTAAAAATATTTAAAGCACAGAGAATGACCATGCCATGAAGGGTTTTTGACATAGGCTAATTTTATGTGTATGTATAAGCAACTCGGTATTTCCGCGATGTCTGCAACACGTCTCTTGTGCACGCTTTGTGTGCAAGAACAGCGCGTGAGTAACAAATTGAGCTCTCTTTCGTTTCTTCTTTTTGTGGTTTAAAATTGCTTGTTCGTGTAAATTGGCAAATGAATCTGCGAATCACGTGCGTGCCAAACGGTAGGGTCTCATCCGTACGTACTACGGATCAACTGCGATCCGTTTAACTCCTAATATGTGACAGATCAGAGTAGTGCTGGGTGATATAACGGTTCATACCGAATACCGGTTTTTATTTTTGTTATGATATGAATTTTTAAAATACCGCAATGCCGGTGTATGTCGCTTAAACAACGTTCGGAACGCGACACTGTTTGAAATGGGTCCCTTTTCACTGTTGCACTGTGGTGAGGGCACAGCTGTATGTGTTACTAAGCGTGAAAGTTCCGAAACTGAAGCTGTAGAACTAATAGAACGTGATGACAGAAGAACTCATCCACAATATCCACATTGACTGCCACAAATATCCACCGCCCCCTGCCATCAGCTCTCGCGTCTCACACACACACACGAGCGGGACTTTAGCACTAGATGTAGCAACTTTCAGACCCTTTTAGCGGCTTTTTTTCATAGAATATTCATACTGACAAACCTAGTGATAAACCTTAGCTATGGTTCAGTTGGGAGATTTCGCCAGTGCTGTCCCGTGAACGCGAGGTCTGACTTTCCCGGAGAAGTGTCACCTCTCTCGGCGTCTGTTCTGTGCAGTGAGCGGCAGAGAAGCAGCACTTTCAGTTGGCCGCATCGCAGCCGACTCGTCAATAAATGAGTACAAAACAGCGTTTCCTAGCACCTGTTGCTTACTGATTGTTTGCAATTATAAATACAAGCGTAGTTCGTCTGTTAATATCACATGCACTTTTTTGTTGTTTTTTTTTAGTTCGTTACTCCGACGCAAGCAGTGCGCTGCATGAGACAAAAAAGTAATATAGCCAAAACAACCGCATAGCCGCTCTTTAGTGTAGATGCATGTTGATTTTATCAGATGATGCCGTGATTATAAATGAGAGTGACTCCTGGTTAACATGTATTAAAAGGGGTTGTGTTTAGTCACTATTTAGTGTGGTATGTTTTGACAATATTCACTCATCATGACAGTAAAATAGGGCATTCTAAGTCAACATACTGCAGTATTTCCTCTCAATCAGTAGAAAATATGGTTAACACCCGGTCATGCATGAAAAAAAAAAAAAAACGTCTTGTACTGTGAAACCGGTATAATTTTGAAAAATACCGTATACATTTTTGGTCATACCGCCCAGCACTAGC